GACGACGAGGCGATCCCGCCGAGACCCCTGCCGTCCGATCCCTTCTTCCGGAGGCGGCGCCAGGTGCACAGGTGTGGGGCGGTGCCGTGGGCGGGGCTGGGGCGCCCTCTGGTGACCAGAATGGCCAGGCGGGGCCCAAGGGAAGTCACCTCAGCCCAGGTCAGAGGCACTGACCATCTTGCTCCTGTCAGGAACAACAGGGCCCCTTAATTGAGCACCTACTGTGTGCAGACTCTGCGCTGGGCATCCATGTCAGCTCCTTTCCCCTCACAACTGCCCTGTGGGATAGAAAATCATTTGTTTATATATTTTTTCTTTTTCTTTTTTTTTCTTTTAAATATATCTTATTGATTTTTTACAGAGAAGAGGGGAGAAGGATAGAGAGTTAGAAACATCGATGAGAGAGAAACATCGATCAGCTGCCTCTTGCACGCCCCCTACTAGGGATGTGCCCGCAACCCAGGTACATGCCCTTGACCGGAATCGAACCTGGGACCCTTGAGTCCGCAGGCTGACGCTCTATCCGCTGAGCCAAACCGGTTAGGGCTATATATTTTTTCTTTATTTTTCAATTACAGTTGACATACACTATTATATTAGTTGTACATAGTGATTTAGATACCTTACAAAGTGTTCCCTCCAGTAATTCTATTACCCACCTGGCAACATTCATAGTAGTTACAATATTATTGACTATGCTCCCTACGCTGTACTTTATTTACATCCCCATGACTATTTTTACTTTATTATTTATTTAATTTTTAAACAAGGCCACCAAAAATTTGGTTGCCTCCCCTGACTATTTTTAATATATTTTTAAAATTGATTTCAGAGAGGAAGGGAGAAAGAGAGAGAGAAACATCAATGATGAGAGAGAATCATTGATCGGCTGCCTCCTGCATGCCCCTACTGGGGACTGAGCCTGCAACCTGTGTATATGCCCTTGACTGGAATTGAACCCAGGACCCTTCAGTGCACAGGCTGATGCTCTATCTACTGAGCCAAACTGACAAGGGCTCCCATGACTTTTTTAAAACATAAATTTTTTTTTTTGCCCAGCCAGTGTGGCTCAGTGGTTGAGTGTTGACCTATGAGCCAGGAGGTCACGGTTTGATTTCCAGTCAGGGCACATGCCTGGGTTTTAGGCTCGATCCCCAGGGTGGGGCATGCAGGAGGCGGCCCATCAATGATTCTCTCTCATCATTGATGTTTCTGTCTCTTCCTCCCCCTCCCTTCTTCTCTGAAATCAATAAAAAATATTTTTAAAATAAATGTTTTTATTGATTTTAGAGAGAGAGGAAGGGAAAGGGAGAGAGAAACATCAGTGTTGATTGACCGGTTGCCTCCTGCACACCTCCTGCCAGGGATCAAGTCCAAAACCCCGACACGTGCCCTGATCAGGAATTGAACCTGCGACCTCTTGTGCATGGGTTAACGCTTAACCACCGAGCCACATGCTAGGCATATTTTTTTAATTATTAAAAGTATGTTTTTATTGATTTTAGAGAGAGAAGAAAGGAGAGAGAAAGAGAGATAGAAACATCAATCAGCTGCCTCCTATACACCTCCCACTGAGAGTCAATCCTGCAAACCAGACATGTGCCCTGACGGAATTGAATCGGTGACCTCCTGGGACAATGCTCAACCAACTGAGCCACACCGGCCAGGGCTCTCTGATTTATTGGTGATAGCCATTCTGACAAGTGTGAGTCGATAGCTCGTTGTGGTTTGGGATGGGAAATCATTAACAATTATAATAACAAATCTAACACATATTAAGCACTCTGCTAAGTCAGCTCTTTTATAGGCGCAAATGCACAACTTATTTACTTTTGTGACATCCTAATGAAACGGGAACTGCTATTATCTCCATCTTATTGATAAGGATGCTGAGGCGCAGGGAGGGTCTGACTTGCTTGGGGTCACACGGACAGACCTTGAACGTGACCTGCAGCCGTGTGACTTTAGGGTGGGTGCTCTTACACTGATTTCCGTGCTGCAGGGGAGGACAGCTAGAGTGACTTGCCGGTGTGGTTCCCAGCTTGGTGCTCTCAGTTCCCAGGCTGCGTTAGAGCTGGGCGCTGTGCCCTCTAGTCAGGGCCAGAGGCCTTCGAATGGAGACTGGAGGATCCAGGGCTGGGTTCCACG